AGTAATTTATACAAAAAAAAAATACATGAGAGTAATTGCTTTTTAAAATACTTTCTAAAATAATAAAAGCAAAATTATTATTTTGATAATACATTAATCTGCCTTCACATCAAAAGTACTGGGGTCAGCATATGAGATTTATACCAAAGGCTCTCAAGCTGAGTGGTTGCTACTCTAGTCTACTAATTTGAAATGGGAGGAACATCATGAGCTAAAAAGTTGAGTAAATATTAAGTTAAAGCTACAAACTTGGGTCCTAAGACTCTTAAACCTACACACATGGGGAGCATAACAGATAATCAAATTAAACCAAAAATATTATAAATCCCAGTATCTAAATAACAATTTAATATCACAAATTAACTCACAAATAATCGAACATGTCAAAAAATAACCAATGACATTTAATCAATCCATATCATAAAATCTTATGCTGACGAATGTGATGTCACAAGTATAATGCATAAAACTAAAAATCACACAATACTATGGAATCCATTGATGTGTGCTAGCAATACTTGTACTGGAGCTAATCACGGTACTCACCATACTGCGTAGAGGTCCACTGAATACCCTAAAGGGCCCACTGAATACCCAAACTTTAAGCTTAGGTCCACTTACTCCATACCCACAAACACATACAAATGTCAAATAAATTCAAAACACTTTCAAAATAATATGAGAATATTATTTCATTTATGTTTTACAAAATCAGTTGCATTTCTAAAGCAATCCACCTTAAATTTCCACATAACTCACATAGTTTAAATTCATGGTTAAAACATACAAAATATAGCACTTAATCATCCAATTAAACAAATGCAATTTAAAGCAATTCACTTTAAATTCCTAATACTAATTCACTGGTTTCACCTACAAAAATTGAGAAATTAACTTCTTATTTTAAGAATGCAATCATTGCAGGAATAATCAATAAAATCCAAGTGCACAAGCCACGGCAACACTCAAAGATTCTAAATAAATATGTATAGACCCGTTGGAAATACCAAAACAACAATAGCAGATTATATCCAAAATTCACACAAAATTCAAACATAAATATAAAAGCCCCTTTTGCTTAGGACTGTACATATACCCAAAATCCAAATATTTTTAGTCAAAATTCCAGTATCCAAAATCTCTTACGCAAAGGATTTAGAGTCCAATTTCACTAATTTAAACTAATTTTTAGTTTATTGTAATAAATCTATAACCAAAAATCTAATTCAAATTCATAGCTTAAAACTTATACTTACTTTTGAAAATCCAAACATCAAACTAAAGAAAACAGTAGGAATTAAAAGCAGAAGTTGGAGAAGGTAGTCACCAGGTTGTTCGCTCCATGCTGCAATCTACAAAAACCTCCTCTCCTAGTGGATGCTCAAAAGAGTGGAAAGAAATGAGTTTACGGGAGTTTTAACTCAAAAAGGGGTTTCCCTTTTCTAAAATGTTTGAGAAGAAGCTTGGGTGCTCCACAAGACTTTCTCAATTCAAGACAACATACTTGGTTGTCATTTTGCGACGTTTTTAATTTGGCATAATTTAGTTAAACACCCTTCAACTCTTACTAAATTTTACTTTAAACCCCCAAACTCTAAATTCAATTAATTTAATCCTCAAAACTTTAAAATAAAGTACTCATATTTCTAATTTATTCACTAAAGTATATGAGATGTTACAACTACTGCTAAAGATGTATAAGTAGACAATGTTGTGACCATTAGTGCAAGCCAAATGGGAGGGAACAATGCTACTAGTATGGGAGAAATTGCAAGCGAAATGGCTTAACTTCCTACTATTGCTATGAGAGAACGGCTCCTACAAGGAATGTGGAAACTGCTAATGTTTTGTTGGCTTTGATGAGTGATCAATTAATGTAGATACCTTTTGTCCTTGGGTTTGGTGGTGTTAAACAGTCAACAAGTCAAGAGAATGGTGCAAAAGAAGGTAGGGGCAAATGGAAAAGAGTAAGACATGAGGTGGGGCCCTTTGTGCATGTGGACAAACCTACTCAAGGAAAAAGAAAGAGTAGTACAACAATTTTGGAATAACAATAGGCTGACAAGGTGATCTTAAATAATATGAGCGTGGTTATGATTCCTAAGGAGGTGGATAGCACTGCTTTGATAATATAAATGGATAATTTTCATTTGTCTACTAGTTAAAAATTAATTGTGGATGGATAGAGCATTGTAGTGCTAGGAGACACTACATCACCAAGTCCATTGATCTCCTATGCTAAGTTTGGGTGGTAAAATAGATGTGATTGCCAATAATGTTAGTAAACTCTAGCGTAATCTTTCTATATTATTACATAACTTTATTGATACCCTTATGATGTATATTAATATTTAGAGGTTTCCAATTCATAATTGTTTATATTTGTATGGAACACTTAACTTTATACATTAGTATCAAAGTTCCATCCTAGCTTATTTTCATTTCCTATTTTAGCCTATATGGCGAGATATAGTTTATATTGTAATTGTTATCCAATTATTAATGCACTATACTTTTTATAAAGAAAGATTTCAAATAAAAAAGATAATAATATGTAATAAGGCGCATAAACCCTATTGATTGCTTAAGATCTTCCTGTGATAAAGAAGGTTGTGGCTTGAACTATGTCGAAGAATCACTATCATGATAAATCTCATAACATAATGCATATTTAAGGTTGTTAACAAATTGAGTTGAGCACCTAAATATTTGTGCTCAACCTTGCTTTAAAAATTTAAATTTGAGTATTTATTACGCTCCTAAAATAGTTGAACTCATGAGCATTTGAGTAAATTCGAGTTTACCCATAATTAAGTTCAAGCCAACAAGTACTTTTTAACTTAAATTTAAGTTTTTTTTATAGTAATTCTAAAGTGTTTTAATAACAAATATTTAAGCATAAATTTTTCTACCATTTTAACAAATATTGTAGTATAGAAACTTATATTTATTAAGTCCAGTAATAAAAAAACAACTATGAACTCCATTTGAATATTTTATTAAAAGTTATAACTCAAAATATATAATTTATTTAAATTATTTTTTCAATCTAATTAAATTTAAAAATTAATATATATTTAAATTTAATAAATAAATATATAATATAATTTTTAAGTATGAATCGAGTACTTGCGAACAGTTTACAAGTAGTTATGGAAACTCGAACTGGATCAAGTCATTCACTAAATGAGTTAAGTTTAATAAAGTATTTACGAATTACTCTATTTGTTAACAGCCATATGTCCGTCCAACCGGCTACGGGCCACCGAAGCATTTATACAACATGATATATCACGTCGATGTTTAATCTTTCACCACACTTGATTAGCATCGGTATCAAAGATTGCAACGTACTCTTTATATACAAATATTCCACGACCTATGTGTTGGGGAGATAATCGAGTCGGTTTAATGCTCAAGCGCATACATGAGAGAGTAAATATATGTGAGGAGATGTTATTTTAAATTTAAAAAACATATTTATTAAATTCGTAGGCTTTTATGTGTGTATATATATATATATATACACATTATATTCTTTAACTTGTTTTCCTTCAACGTGACATCATTACAAATCTTTTAGCTCCATATCACATGTGAACTCTGCTCACTATGTATATGTACCCTTATAAGATGCTTAATAAGTACGCATTATCAATTTCTAATTGGGAAGAGGACGAAAGAATAAAATTTACAGTTGGGGAGAGGAGGACCATATCAAATGTGAACTATATGACCTACATGTTAACCAATTGAGTTGACAAGCCCTTTTTCCTTATACAAAAATACAGAATGTTTTCTGTAAAATACATGCGTTAAATTTTATTTCAATTGTTAGATGTTGTAGCAAAAAGAACCTCAAATTAAAATTAAAATAACAAATAGAGTAAAAAAAATGTGTACCATATACTTAGGATTGAATTATTATTTCTTTTCAATATTGAAATATAAAAGTAGAAAGTCATGGATAAAAACAAAAATTCCAGGCTATATATATATATAAAATATGCATTCGATTGAAGAAATAATAATATTGTGGCTTTCCTATGCCCAAACCATTATTCCAAGAATCAAAGAAAGAAAATAAATAAATAAAAAAACAAAAAGAAAAAAAAAAGAAAAAAAAAACCACAATAACAACAACAACATAAAATAATAATGTCATCCTCTCACTTCTTCTTCCTTCTTTAATTAATCCTTTCTCTATTATCATCTGTTTTAACTGGTGTCTGACCTCGAGCTTACAAGTCATCTATAATTGCAAACAAAATCGGAAAAATTGTCTAACAAGGCTTGTTAGTGAAGCAGGTAAGCGCGCCAGAGAACTTTCTGAGCAGAGGCACCTGAGTTGCAGAGTACGGAGTCACCATGTACTGGCTCGAGAATTTCTTGGTGGCAGAGGGATCCCCAGATTCATTGAAGAATGCCCCATTCAACATAAGGTCTCCCTCTGACCTCCATGGCCAGCTTGCCCATTGTTGTGGCGTTGCATAGTCTCTCTTAGTTACCTTCATGAAAAAAGAATACGTGAATGTAAATTGTAAGTAACAGAGTGTGTCATGCTTACAATTTAGTGATAAGAAAATTGAAAATGGAAAATGATTTAGCTATTACCTCTTTGGCAGCCAAGTTTGGAGGAGCAATGAATCGATTGCCTTGGCTGAGGATGGTTGGGTGGGAGCTACCTCCTATGGCATACATAAGCCAATGAGTGTAATCGTTGTTGACAATATGGATGAAGCCCCAGCGGCACCTGGGCATCCTTTGAACCAAACCCCTACCGAAGTGGGTGAAAGCCACAGTAATTTGCATCTTGGTATCTTCGCTGTAGGAGTCACTTGCTCCAAACAACATCACCTCATTGTGGTGGGTGAAATGGCAGTTAGAGATGGTTATGGCGGTGGAGCCCTGAACAACATCAATCAGACCATCAAAGCAGTTGGAAGCTGAGATATGGTCGATCCAAATGTAGGAGGATCCGAAGACGGAAATGCCATCACCATCACTCTTTGTTCTGAACCCAATGTGATCAACCGAATCCCTAATCATACCGCCCTCACACGGAACAATGTCGTGAATGTGGAGTCCGTGAATGATGACATTCTTAACAAACTGGACAGTGATGCCTGCACCATAAGCAATGTGTACGTTGGCGCCTCTAGCATCGATGGTCTTGTCACTGGTGACGATAAGCTCCTGCTTGAGTTTGATAATCATGCTGCGGGCAAAGATGATCCAGAGTGGCTCTTTTTGGATGACTGCATGGCGTAAGGTTCCGGGTTTAGGATTTACAACATCGTCATCTGACCCATCAGTCACCACATAGATCATGCCCATCTTTCCACCAATGGTGCCTTTAGCGAATCCGAGAGCGCAGTCGGCTAACCTCTTCCTGTTGTTGGCCCAGTTGGGGTCGCAGCGCCAGCACTTGTCAATAGGGTTGGTTGCCCTGCATGATCCTTTACGTAAACCCTTCATCTTCAACTCTCTTCTTGTGCTGTTATGTTTCCACTCAGCCAATGTCCTGCATCCATGCAGGCATGCATAACACTAATCAACGTTAAATACCGCATTGCTATGCATACCTTTTTTGTTACTAGTACAATACATACCACCATACCACATAGCAGATTAATTATATACCGCGCGGATACTATATTAACACTGCTCAAAATAATCAAAATATGTGTTACAAACCAATTCATTTCAATAGTTACCTTGCTACATGCTCATTGAAGTGTTCAGTAACTTCCTCAGGGCGAGGGTTATAGGCCATGTTAGCGTGTTCGATGGCCTCGACCTCCCGCTGGTTCCAGTAATCATCGAAATCACCCATGTGGGCTAGTAAGGTTGGGATAATGATAGCAAAGGACAAGAAGAAGATGAAATTTCTATTTCTTGCTGCCATTGTGTTATCTGAATTTAATCTTTTATTTTTTTTGGGATTTACCGCCTTGGGTTCAAGCGTGCTTTTGATGAATAGCCTTGGTCTCCCTGGTATGGTGCTATGAGCAAGGATGAGACCGAGACCAAAGCGAACCCAAAGCCTTTAGAGATTATATTGAGCTCCAAAAACAAGCGAATACACTTCGCTTGGCCTGCATGGGGGGAGTCATATGGGAAACAAATCATCCTTGCTTAAATAGCAAAAATGGAGAGGACAAGGTATGGAGAGGCGAGGAGAAAGGAGAACCAACGATGGAAGAGACAAAGTCAGGGGAATTTTTTATTTCCAAACTTGAAATCATCGCTATGTTTAGTAACACATGGACATAAGTGGTTAATTTAGTTCGTTCTGGTCAAAATTCAAAAGCTTCTATTCCGGATAAGTTACCGAATTGAGTGGGGTTTGTCGTAACATATGGTACGGTACCAATATCTTTTCAGAAAATGTTCCGATTGACAAAGGATAAATTTTTTGCACCTTGTGTTTTATTTATTTATTTTTATATTTTATCACATGGTTTATTAATATATTTTTAGTTATTAAATTATATAAAAAATAAAAATTTTAATATTAGATTTAGGATTTATTTAAGAATAATTTTCACTGTTTTAGTTCTTAATTTTTATATTTTTTATTATTTTTAATAAATAATTTGTATATTTTTGAGATATTAAAAGATTAAAAAACTTACCATTATAGTTATAACTTAATATTATCAAATTAAACCTTAGCATCTATGTCACAAATGTTAGTTTAATTAGTTATTTGACAAAATTAGAATTAAAATTTATTGTTCTATATATTTTGATAGTCAATTTTGTTAATCTCTGTCATCAAGTAGTTAAGGCACCTTTTAATCATAAAAATTAATATAAAAAAATACAAAAATTAATATTAATTTTAATATTATTGTCACATAAATAAATTTAATTATATAATTAATAAACTTAATGTTATTTTTTATTTTTTTGAAAATTTTAACCTATATTATAAAAATATAAATGAAAAAAATTCTTTACTATATATAATTAAAAATATATTAATTATGCTTTTAGGGTACATATTAAAAAATTTTTAAATAAAAATACTCATCATCAATTCAAGATGTAGAAAGAATCATTACTTTTATTTTTTTTCATTTTCTCTCCAAACAAATATATTTTCTTAGGAGACGGAAAAACCTCTCTTTTTTTTTAAAAAATAAATAAATAAATAAATACGTAGGGAATTTTGAGGGTGCGAGAGATGGAAACCTGGGTTTGTGGTGGTAATATTGGTTTCCTACAAAATGTTGGAATGACAAAATAAAAATACTCTTATAAAAATATTCATTATTGTTACTTTTGTATTTTCTCTCTGTATTAATATTCTTTCTTTTAGGACTGACAGTAAAACTTTTTCTTTTTTCGAACTTGGGAAATTTTGGGGGTGGGAGAATGGACTTCCTGAGCTTTGAAACTCAGGAGGATCCATATGCCGACTATGCTCTTAATAAAGAAATGGCACACACCTTCCCCTAATCGTGTAAATGATTTTTTTTTTTTTTTTGGAACAAGTATAATTTGGGATTGGGGATGGAACATTTTAACATGATAATATCATGACTTGAATCTTGATCGTTACTAAGGCAATGTGAGTAAATGATGTTCTTAATTACATTTAAACAGAACATTATTTTAATCTCAATATTTGGATTTATTAATAAGTATTATTTTATGAATTAAGTTTAGATTTAAATTTTAAAGTCATTATCTAAAAAATTTAAGTTTCTTAAATGCAAAGCTGCGGATGTGGAAGTGTAATCTTAAGTTTACTTAAAAACAGCTCAAGAATATCCTAATTATAAATACTTAAAAAAAAAAGAAAAAAGAACATGTACATGGTTCTTAATTTATTTAAAAATATAAATTATAATCATCTAATAACAAATTGATGAGTAATCTATTTGCCTCGTGACCTCGTTGGGAAATTAAAATAGGTCTAAATGAGTCACAAGCCATAGAAAACTTATTCTTGTGTTTAACAGTTAAATTCATGATCAGATATAAATTAACTAATTTAGTAATTATTTATGAATTACTTGTTTATATAATTTTTATATATTATTAATTAGTAAATATAATATAATATAATATGATAAGTTTCAATACCGTATAAAGAATTTTTTAATTAATTCCTAAAAGTTAATAGATTAAATTGATATCGAACCTACAAATTATATTTATATATAGAGAGAGTCTATGCATGGTTATTTGACTAAATATTAACTTTTCAAAAAAAATTAAGTAAACAATACTAATAGAATCTCTTGTCTTATCGTTCAGTTTGCACGAAATTATAAAATAAAAATAGTTAATTAAAAAAATATATATTAAAAAATCTATTTCTTATTCAGAAGTAATTATTGTGTTATTCAGTACAATCACGCTACACAATAATAG